CTCTCTCAACCAGCACCCTGAACAGACTACCTCAATGCCTGAGGGAAATAACTCAATAATGGCAATAAGGATTGCTAAAACTTAAATCATTGACAGTAGATGATGCTTCCCTTACCAGTGGATTTCTCCATGAGTATGAGTATGGCTACTTCCTGTGAAGAGCCCAATTAGGCAGAAAGCAAAGGCACAAAATGTTTGCATATCAAGAATAATGATTAGGAGACACACTTTAGTGGCCCCTGAAGGTAAACCCATGCAAAAGCCTCTGAAGTCAACAGCAATGACTCCAGAGTTGCGTTAGACAATGTAAATCTGAGTTCTTGATACTATGCAATAAGCTTGCTTTGCTTTAGAGATGTAGAATATAAACTGCAAAAACTCATGCTACTTAGGAAACTGGAGCTGTATCACTTGATGAACTTCACTCACATACCAAGCACAGAACCTCTCCTGGAGTAACCTGGTGCAGTGGATCAGCTTTCTGCACACTGATGTGTTACATCATTAGCTTCCCACTGAAATGCAGGGTCAGGCTTTACAAATTTCTTTCAGTAATTGTTGCCGTTGTGTTAACCTATATAAAATCCAGTTTGCGGTGCCCCTGCTGCAGCTGTGCCCTCAGGAAGTTTGGCAGTCCAAGAAACTGTTTAAAATGAGTTGCAGTGGTCCAGAGCACATTTCTACTTCCTGCTTGATAAAAGCCTTCATCCTCATACAAGTCAGCTGATCCGCTGACTTATCTTTTCTGTCAAACTTTTACAATTTTTTTTAATAATATTATCAGCTTCAGTGGAAAAGTGCTTCAGACCACAACTCATCTTAAGCTACTTTCAAATCCTGGGTGCCAAGCACCATAAAAAAAAAAACAAAACAAAACAAAAACCAAAACCCAGAAAACTTCTTAACAGTAACACACCACTGAAAGAGGAGAATTTATCCATACTTCCAGAGAAAAGCTTTTTTTAATCCAAGTACTGTAATTATTCTCAAAAATTTTTGAGTGTATAGCAACCAACACAGGAGAAACACGAACAGCAAGAAAAAAAAAAAGCCATTTTGCAAAGTGCCCACACAAAGCAATGATGGCTACTCTATCTGGTTTTTAAAACTGAACTGCTATGGGCTAAGATTCAGCAAGAGTCTACACAGTGTAAAATATCTCCCATCACACATTTAGTTACTACATAATATTTGAAGTTTATATCTCATCATTAGGCAACATTAATTTGATGCACCTTTCTAGCTCATCCCATGTTAACTTTGTACCTACAGAACTAATGTGAAAAGATGCAGTTGGTCCCAAGTCCTTCCAGGCATCTGTAGTCAAATACCTTCAATTCCACTCCAACAGAAACAGATGTATGAATATTACTGCCTGCACTGCTAATGTGCTCAGCAAAGAGCCAGTAACCACACTATCTTGCTGAAACTTGAGTTTTCCCAGTGACCTGAAGCACAGCTAATTATGACCAGCAGCAAATCAGTACCCTTTGTGATGTACAGCAACAGAAGTAATGATGAAGTCCCAGGGGGCAGATTAACTGTAATGTGTTAAAATACAAGTTGACTAATCATTCTTCAAAGTTTTTTTGAAGAATGCTGCCCCCGACTCCCACATGCAAACAAAACAATTAGACCATATTCATATATTAATTTTTATTTTCCCATACAATATTCACAGGGTCTGGTTTTTGTCTTATTCAAACTACACTTTTTTTCCCCCCTCCAAAGTAAAAGAAGAACTGACATTTCAGGACATGAAAAGAAGTTCTGTAAACATGAAACATCCAAGGAATAGCTGAAACCCAGGGCCTTTAGCAATTAGAAACACAGTTATATCCCCTTTAACGCAAGGCATTTACTTGTATATCACACCATTAACCAAACTATTTCTTTCATATATTAAAAAGATGCAGCTTCAACCAAAAGTTACCATGCATTTCTTCACCCACTGCGTGTTAGCGTGTGTTTTATTATATCCCATTCAGTCACTTATTTTAAAAACTATATACAGCTATGTTTAAACGTGTGTATTTGTGCCATGTTTTTAATAACACAAAAATAAAGGCATTTTTAAGCTATTGCGCCATATTATGCAGCAGGATACCAGAGGATTGGTTCGGATACGCAACTTGAATGCAAAAGTTAAGTCCACTAACCTCGGCAGTGGGAGTAATATTAGGCTGAAGAGTCCCACTTCACACATTCAAACATTATGAAAGAATAAAGAGACATGTACCTGATGGCCACCCATAATCTGTTTTACCCCACTGTTTACCAATTTCGACAGCACACAGAAAAACTGAGTGGAAAAAAACCCAACACATTTCAATCTTTAAAACAAATGCTTTTGTTGTGATTAAAGCTACACAAGTGATATTCAAATTGGGAAGATAATATTGGACACTATCAAAATTAAATCATGTTTTCATCTGACACTTGCACCCAAAGTGTACCACTTGCCTCATTACTGTGTGCAATGCAGCACAAAAGTACTGAATGTCAGTTGCTGAAACACAAGAATAAAGCATACAGGTACAATCAAGAATATTGTGTGCAGGCACAGATTTGTATTGTAAGAAGAAAGCACTAGTTTTTTTGTTTTCTGAACTTTGTGAGTCTTAACTATTTCTGGAAAGCTTGCATCTCAAAATGGGACTGCAGTATTTAAAATTCAGTATAGAAAAACATTACATATAATCCTGAATTTCATGTGCATTAAGCTTTTAAACACGCCCATGACCTTTTAAACAATTTTGGAGCTGTTGGAGGTTTTTCTTCAGTTTCCAAAAGAGCAGTCGTTCACTTCACAACAGACACTAGGTGCGCTTTTGTTTATTTTTTTCAGTCATCACAAGACTTTAAAATCAAGTCATCTTAGGTGGATTCTTCAGACTTCTCAAGTGTCACCTGTACATGCAAGTTCAATATTTTGCTAGAAATAATACAGGCAATTAATAAGGGTTTAGCATTCTTTCTCTGCTTGCTGAGATCTTGTTTAAGAAGCTTCTTTTGATTTAGCCAGTAATATACAACAAATTTTTTCACCTTAGTTTAGTTTGTGTGCACTTAAGAATTGGTCAGTCTACTTACTCCTCCAGAGCCATTTGAAGGAGTTTAGCCTTATTATGACCAACTCAATCCAAGGTACTTGTATGCATATACATTTACTACCCTTCACATCCAAATAAAACAAGACTTTACAGTACATAAGCTACTAAAGACATGAGCAGTGGAAGCAATGTAGCTATAACTCTACCTAAAAGATAACCTGAAACATTTAAAACATTTCCTGACCACTAGCAAAAAAGAGTGGCAATTAGATGCACAAGGCCATCATGTATCAGTGCACCACACACAGGAAAGTAAAATTTACAGCACTTGTGCAATGCAGTATCAATACCAAATTGGCCTCTTAATAGGAAAACAACTTAGCAAAAAGGTTTATATGTGCCTAACACATAACATAACCTCGTCCAGTGCTGGTGCTGTGCTGCTTAACAAACCAAGTACTTTGGGTCTTTAATCAAAAAAGCAGCAGCAGCATGTATGAGTACAGAAACTGTATGGTTTCAGTGACAAAGTTACAAGATTCTCTATTTTATTGTGTGTGCTAAATAAACTTGGAGATTTGGATTTTTGAATACAGAAAGTGGATTACCTGAGTAGTCTCAGCTTACAATTTGTTCAGTAAAACAAACATTGTAAAAGAGGAAATGCATCTATTTAAATACAGAAGAATGTATGTTTAAGCAAACACACTCAAGTTATGAAATTTAGCAAGTTTTGAAGATGGAGACTTATCAGGTTGAGGGAGAACTGGCACCATGATGTAGTGTCAAGCTTGCAACAATTTTACAAATAAGCAAGGGGTACCATTGGATTACTTTTTTTAACAGCAAATCAAAACAGTGCGCTACAGTTCATCACATTTGCTTTTTTATAATCCAACACATTCAGCCTGAAAATTAAAATCAGATCAAATTTTCATACACAGTGTCTCTTATATCAGTCACTAGACCGTTGGGTTATTTTAAAATGTTATACTGCAGATGGATAATCTTACTGGTAAAAGTCAAACTCAGTTTCCACTAACATCAGCAGAAATACAGAGAGGCTGGCTGCTGCCAGATATTTAATACAGGAATCAGAAAACACTAAAGTTCCAAAGTATTTTTAAAATACTTCAAATCATGTGTGTCTCATAATTTTTGGGGTCTGTTTTGTGATTTTTAAGGGATGAGGAACAGACACATTTGAATGTTGCATATATTCAGATCTTTTGTACCTACAATTAATTGGAGAAGAGTTAATTTTTACAGATGAGTAGCACACAATGATCTGAAGCATTACCACTACCAGTTATGATCCAACACGGGTTGTTGTGGTTCTTTTATCTGAGAAGAAGCTTTTGAGGAGAAACACCTGCCCGACGCTAACAACAAGAAGAATGATTGCTTCCCCTATTGACCAGTAGGCCACCCTCGTGTTTAAATCCTCTGCTCTGCTGCGGCCCTGAGCTTCCCTCAAGCGGAAGTGAGTCTGATAATCGATGACAGACTTCAAAGCTTCATGAATTGAAACACACGCAGACTCCATCTAGAGAAGCAAATGAAAACACACCACTGAATTAAGAATCCTTTTAGAGCTTTTTCTGTGAAGTTTTGTGGTTTCATATTTAAAATTAGGATTCATGTAACTTTGCAGGCTAAGGATTAACTCAGTCCATTGTCAGACTGAAATACTGTAAATGCAGTAAAAGTTAACTTACATTGAGCAAAGTCTAAACACAGGAATGCAACAGACTGTTAAAATACAGAAGCGTGTAAAACTGCTGATCTAATAAAAAGCAACGGGCTCTGACAGCCACCAAACAAATCTTAAATTCATGTATATTTCGGTTCAAAATGAACATTAGAAACACTTTTGAAATGTCAGTAATGCCCCAGTTGTTAATTCCACACATATCAGGAAAACAAGCAGTGGCTTCTAACATTATGATGCACATAGTATATATTAAATGCTTCTATGTTTCACTAGTATGACATTCTTTACTGCATAATGCTCACTCAAGTTGTACAACATCCTAAAATCCGAGTTACTGAACTCAACATGTTCTTTTGGCAAGAGACCCTTCTCTTAATCATGCCTGCAGAAAGCAGTTAGAGAAAGGACAATTCTGTTACCTTTCAGTGTTCCTGAATGCTCCATAACATAATCACGTAACGAATACCTAACAAATTGCCCAACCTCATTATCATTTTTCATTAAAAATTATTACCACTTTTCCAAGCCCTAGGTAATTTTTCACAAAAACTTCTTTCACTTTCAGTTTATCTTCTGTAAGTAAAAGTCAGTACTCCTCACTGTTTTATCATCAAGAGATTAATCTTAATAGATCTTCAAAATACTTTCTTTCTAGTCACAATTTGTTTTTCTGTTTTATGGCTTAAAATTAGTATTTTCTGAAGATTAAACAGCACAAACTATTATAAAAGGAAACATTAAAACACCCTGATAAGACCACTCTCTAGTTACTTATATCTGCAACTAACCATCTGTTCAAGTTGCCAACTTTCAAGACAGGTATCTGAACAAGTCTAAGATATTCTCAAAAAAATTCAGGGAGAGGTTTTACAAACTAAGTTCTGCCATTGGTCTCACTGATAAATTATAGAGGTCTCCTAGTCTGCACAAGGGATTTAAACACAAAGTCACTTTGGTTCTACGGATTTCTCTTTTACTGTCCCTGTGAAAACTGCTCAAATTTGGTCATGCCACAAGCCTCAAGAAAAGGCAACAAGAACGTTCTTACCAAAGATGTGTTGTACTTTGAAAACCAACTTTGCCTTTCCCAGATTCCTTATTTGCATTGTGTATGCTACAACCCAGTTATAAACTATTTTTTATATATCTTCTCTCACAGGCTGCAAGGGGCTGCAAGAAATGCTAGACCCAGGAACCGCATGTTCTGCATTGTCAAAAACCCTCTGCTGATGCCAAGGTAGCAAAAGAAAAACCAGACCTAACAGAACACACAGACTGAACAGAATGAAGACCAAAGTAAGAAAAGAGATGGAAAGATACAGGATCAAGAATCAGAACACAAAACAAAGCAGATCAGGAGAGTGACAAGAAGAAAGAGGTAAAAGCTGTAGTTGATTGCATAGCAAGTCATCTACTTGTTACAGTTCTCAGCTACTGCAGACTTATGTGAGGTAAATTCAAGTCAGATTGGCACTTGGGAAGTGGTATTTATACTGTTGAGTCCAGACTGGCAAAATAGTGACCATGTCCAGCATTCTTTAATGGTTGTTCAGAATGAGGTTTGGTGATAATTATATGTAAGGATATGAGTGGGAATTCATGAAGCAAGGGTTCCAAGGGAAGTTTTGATGGATTTAGATTGGGTAGAGATGGTACAAAACCATTAAAATCCTGAGAAACATAATAATAATGCTCTGACATTTCATAGTGTCTTATAAAGGACAGATATCTAGAAGGCATCTAAATACGGCTGATTTTGTTCACTTGTTTATTTTGCTAGAATTTTCTTCTCCATTTTAAAAATGGCAATTACTTAAGTCCTCCCCCAAAAAGACTCTACTATTTTAAATATAAAAATAATTCTCAGAGTTTTTCCAAAGTTTGGAAATTTTTAAAACCCTGACCCACTGATATTTACTGTTTGTGAAATCCACACTTCAAGAGGCACGAGTTCCCTTAAAAAAAATTAAAAAAGTGGCCTAACTTTCTCTTAAGCACTTGGCGATTCCTTCCCAACTCTATTCTGTGTTCTATAAATCTTATCTTCAGAAAGCAAGCTTATTTGTAGTAATTCAGGTTATTTTAAAAGCTCCAATCCATTGATTTTCAAAAGTGATATAGGTATCTAATGCAGCTGAAAAAACATTGCTTCCACCTAACAGCTGCTGTGAAACACAACAGCATTTTACCTGGGTAAGTGCAGTTACCCTGTTCTCACTAGGAAACAGTGGCGGATCTTCTCCAACCTGGAAATCAAAGTACACAGTTTTGTGTGTGAAAGTAGAGAATTCGTTGCTGAAGCAGAATTTGTATGTTCCGTTTCTGGATGCAGTAAACGTGAAACTATCATATTGTTTCTTCATCTCTTTGTACAATACAATGCCATCAGGATCTTCCAACCGACAGTCAACATCATAATGACCTCCAGTAATGACCTAAAAACAAAAAACAAGAAATTGTCTTTTTAACAAAACAGACATTATAAATGTGTTCTAAGAAGTATGATTTGTCAAAGTGGCACTGCAAAATTTTTTGCTTTAACAAATGCTTTAAAATATAATGCATTAATTTGAAAATCTTTCAAAGCAAGTCTGCAAAATTATTTTCTTCTGGAAGACACACAGAACATAATTCAAAATATTTTAGGTTCAGCACATGTAATGTGAACTGTATTTTCAAACCATTTACAAGAGCCATTTTAGTTACTCTGTTATAAATAATTGTACAACAGCAAAGGCTACCGTAGATGAAACTCGATGGGGGAGCAAAGGCATTACTGTAACAAATCAACCATTTGCTGTATCCACAAGTGCTCCATGGAATTGATTCAGCCAGCTGAGACTGCTAACATGCAGTTAAGACAGCTCCTTTCTGTACCGCCAAGAGTATAACTACCCTATTAGCTTCAGGCTGCAGGAATGGCATTCGACCAGTAGAACAGGTATTTCAGCTTAGCTCATCTTCACCTGTGCTTGTGAAGACAGCAATGTTCTGGGGCTCTGCTGCCTCCTTCCTGCACAGTTAGCCACAGCATTTCTTCCCCAAACCAGCACATCCAGAAATGCCCACAAGTGACTCAAAACACTACTTTCTCAAGGTTTTTTCCAGGCTTGGGTTATTGTTGGTCTACAACATACTGCTCTGTAGACCAGCTATCCCATCCCTACAGAAAGGCTGATTACCTGGTTGGAAGGAAAAACAAAAATAAGAGCAGTTGGGAGAGAAAAAACCATGGAACTTCAACAAGAAAAGTCAGATCATAAAAGTAAACAGCTCCTTCAAAAGCCCCCAAAGGTAACTGTGATTCCCATCATCAAGTATGACGTCTCTCTCATGCTGCTGCTGTACTGTCAGTGACTTCACTAGCTGAACGACAGACTGAAAGGTTCCAACCCTGCTGATACACTCAAAGGCACCAAAACTGTCAGAGATGTTTGCTCAATACATCTCAAAGCTGAACAGCATGCTCTATCATGATGGCTGCGTGTTCAAATTGTTAGAAACTGAGAAATGTAAGAAAAACTGTGCAGTCTCACTTAGTAAGTGCACGTTAACCATAGTCTTCAATAAGATGTTGGTTGCATGTTTCATTTTTTGTAAGACTCCTGTCTTGCTATATGCCGGAGACATTTTGCTAGTACTACATACCTATTCCATCACTTTCTTACTGTTTGCTACGAGCCCAATTTTAACCATACTCTGAAATACGAAGTATTAGCTCCTTAAGTTGTATCGTGCTTATCGTGCTAATGCTTCACAAACCACAAGGAAATTATTTTCGTGGCATCTTGTTGGGTGGGAGTGCTTTAGGTATTCTCCACACTGTTCAGATGTGGTGGCATGACAGTGATCAGGATAAAAAACACTGCCAGTTTTCAGGGCCAACTTTATATGTCTTACTTAGCTCTAAACTAGACTCATGCCTTCCCGCTGCTCCCGCAGAGTACAGGACAGCATGCAGAATTTCCTTAGCTGAGCTGGAAACTCTGCATTGGCTTCAACTGCCGCTC